TTTCCTTTGTATCAATATGTAAGATGTCCCAGATTTCTCTTATGCCGATAGACTAGAGATTGAGATTGAATTTGATTCAGTCAAACTAAAGTTACTAAACTTAATTGATATTGATTTTTTAAGTTTCCTTTCTTCTGATTGATTAATTTCATATAATAATCTCAAGAATTACTTAATATTAAATAATATTGCACCCTTATAGAACAACACACTGGTGTAATGGTATACCTAATTCGATTGTTTATAACTTTCATACAAATAATCATATTAAATATTAATATAAATATAATTTTTTTTAACTTTACGATATACTTATTTTACAATCTGTTTTTATTTTATGTAGGTATGTTTCGAAACGCCAGACATTAAGGAATATAATATGGTATCAAGCAAATGTATGTATCTTTATTAATAAAACAATTATGCACTCAAAAAAGTGATCTTGCAGTTGCAGCGAAAATTATCTAACAATAAGTACAAAAAATAGCTAAAATAGATAAATTTCTAGCAAATACTGCGATATTGGATATGTATTGCATCTATAGTCATATAGATGACAGAGATAGAATTTAGATTTGTGCTATAAATTCTATGCATATGATACATAATTTTCTATCAGATACAAAAAACGGCTATAATTGTAGCTGGATCAGCAAAATATTTTTTTGTATATAAGTAATAGAACAAGCATTGGAAAAAAAGAAATTAGGTATGTTATACCGAAAAGACGTTTAAAAAGGTTAACATAGAAAAAAACTACTTTAAATTAAAAAATTTAAGTGGATGTTATGTATTTTTCTATTATAATTTTAAATATCTCAAATTTCTCGATAATTTCTAGACTATAATTTCTCGTGTATTAGCCTCCGTCTAAGTGAAACGAACATGCGAGAGTCAGACTGTAATCGAATCCACACGAACGGATTAATTCTTCACCGTTCTCCATTGTTTCGCAAAAAAAGTTACGCCAGTTCGTTGGCATCGATGAACGTTTTTCGTTGCAAGTCAAATTTGTCTGAGCCCCCGGGGAATTATTTCTGAGCTCTCGTATTCGATTCCCGGTTTCTCACATCTCATCCTTCGGCTTACTGGTTACGAACGGTGAGAGAGAGAAGAAAAAGGGGGCTTTTAAAATTCGTACTTCGACGGCTATAGATAAGGCTAGAGAAAGACGATGCCACATTGAAATTATGGGCGGTTAGCTCTTCTTTACTATACCAATGGTATAATAAAATTATATTATAATACAATTATCGCTATATTATTCGGTAGTAGTAATGTTATACTATCCTCTAGAACATTTCAGTGAATTAATTTTGTCCCCCGTACTCTTGTATATGTCATTATGTGAGGCAACGTTATTTATTCAACATTAAAATGCAGCGAGGATAATGATTTTGTATTTTAGAAAATATACATACATTTATGTGTATGCAATTTCTTTGCCTTAAGGAAATAAATCTTTTCCTGTAGCGAAAACATTTGAAAAATATATTACTGAAGAAAATTAAATAATAAACTAAATATTAAATACACAGTGTTGACAAAGTTGTGTCAAATTTAACATATTGCCCATATTCCAAACGGTTCCTCTACAAATTTTTGTGTGAATTTGATATAAAATGAATATGTTAGTAAAAAATATTATGCAAAAAATTAACACAAAAAATGTAACACTGACACAATTTACAATTTATGATTTTTAACTTTGGATATTAAATTAACATTTTATTTATTTATTTATTTATTTATTTATTTATTTATTTACGTTTTAAAGTATATTATTTTTACACGGAGAGAATTTTTTCTTAGAGTTTATCCTGAAAATATGATAATCATGGGACAACATTGTATTTCGAAGAATTTTAATGTAAATCTCTCTCATTGATAAAACTACAATAAAGTATAAAATAAGTTTGATATTTAATAGTATATGATAAAAATTTTTTAAATATTGTATTGTACCATAACTACCATATTTTCAGAGTAAATTTTAAAAGAAAATTCTCTCCGTGTATGTTAATCTTTTATTCACACACATAAATTGTATTATTTTTAACACTAAGAAATGTTGAATATTAATTTAACGCAAAATATTTAGATAACAACCATATTATGTTAAATTAAGACTCGGATATATTAAAAATTTTAACAAGGACTGATTTTAACACAAATACAGAATATTTTTACTGCGTACTTGAATCAAATTTTATACATTTTGCTCGTAGTGGAAATATTTGTAGAAGATATAGGACCCGAGATTACTTTAAATGCGCGAACTTTGGCATACCATCACGTTCTCAATGATATCTGCAATCGTCGTAAGTTCGCGAACGACGCTTTGCATAACCCATTGCAAACGGTTGTGAGATATCACCTGGGCCTCTTTTCCTTTTTTAGCATCGCAAAGCTCCGCTTAAAGCTGGTGTTTCGATTTAAAGTCGGGCTTTAAGCCTCAGTTTATGTGCACATCCCGTAGGTGTGAACATAAATAACCGACTCTGTGAGCGTTTTTCTTTCTCGCGTGCACGTGTATTTATAGGATAAAGAAAGAAGGAGAGAAGAGAGACATGTGCCTTGCGTTCGTTGAATAATATTCGAAAAAATCGCGCGATCGAGCGACATCTTTATTCGTACAAAAATGATTTATTGTATCGGATATGCAACGCAGGCACGATAATTCCGCCCTTTTAGTGCCGGTAATTCGTCTGTGTCGTGCGTTCTCATTCCGCTCTCATCTCGTGCGAGAGACAAATGAATTTGTCGCGCGGCGGTTTGCGAATTTATGGGAGTACTGAAAACACAGTTGAAATTAAATTTAAATTGTTTGAAGTTTAAGAACAAATTACAAGCGTTATTTTTTTTCCTCAGTCTTGTTTCCTCCGTTCCATATGGAAGAACCAGGTCGCCGACGAAAACTGTTTTCACTCAGCCGCATTGTCTACAGGCATATCTTTCTTTCGCGACGAAACCGTGACCCCCTTTCTCGTCTCGCACGCATTCAAATTCGATCGGTCGCAAGTATTCAAAAAAACTTGGTGCCCTCCGGAAGGGCAGCTTCAACGAAGAGCGTGTATGGTCCGGCGAGATAACATAGTCGGGAGGAAAAGGACGGCCGATAAAAGCAGCCAACTATCTAATAGAAAAAAGCGGGGTAACAGACGAGAGAGGAGGCTGCTTGCGGAGCAGCGGCGACGAGAGGAGAATGGGGCTGAAGGGAGGGTGGCGTGGACCGAAGAGAGACCGAGAGGGCATCCGCAGGATGGTCAGGGAGGCAGAAGGAGAGCACGCGGGGGTGAGCGAGGGGGACATCCCCGGGACGCGCAGGCGCCGTGCAAGGGTGGAAAAGCGGGTGAGAGCTGCTCACTACGCCCGGGACACCTCGCGGTCCTCCGCGAGGAGAGGGCGCGTGCCAAGAGATGAAGCGAGACGGGAAACGCATCGCAGCCACGAGGAGACAGGAGGAGAGAGAGGAAGATCATCGAGAGGAGAGGGCGTAAAAGCGTGCGCGCGCGCGACGAAGGGGCGCAAGGGGGGAGAAGGAGAGAGGAACCCCTGGAAAAGCCGGGGAGAATGCTTTGTCGGCCGTCACCGACCCCCTCGCAGTAGCGCGCGCGCGGCAGTCGACGTTTTCTGCGAGGGAAAGCCGCCGTCGTGCAAGAGTCAGCATCGGGCGATCGTTGCACGCTCGGCACGTTGCGTTGAAGCGATCAGCGTGCGAGAGGAAAAAGAGCGGGGCGAAAAAGGGAGAGAGAGAGAGAGAGAGAGAGAAGAAAGGGAGAGGAATGAGGTTGGAAACGCGCGACGAGTGAGGGAGGATCGGAGGGAGATTGGTCCAGGAAGAGAGACGCGCAAGGGTGGTGACCCGTGACTCCGCAACGCGCCGGAGAAGGAAGCAGCCAGTACGTCCGACACACCGCGGGTTGTACCACTGCGCTCAGCTCAGTAGCGACTGTCCGCGCTCTAGTCAGCCGCGGCGCAGTAGCTACGCTCAGCGCTAGTCAGACGCGCGCTGCGCTTCCCACTTTTCCCTGTGTGTGTCCCCGTCTCGCCGTTTGGTCTCTCCCCTGGTGCCGTCCTAGCCGCAGAATCGCGTCGCGGTGTCGACTGTTCTATGTAACGACTCAATCACAGCGACTATCGTAACTTTTTAAGCGACTTGATATCTCGAAAAAAAAAATTCAAAGACGTGACTCGTTCGCGTGCGTATTCTGTGTGTTACGTGTGTTTTATTGTGCCCCGCGGTCACAGTCGCGCGATCGTCGATCGGCAAAGTGTTTCCCGGTCGGTGGGAAACCACGACCGACCGACCGACTGATCGATCGAACGTACGTACGCCAGCGCGCGTGAATCCAGCCGAACCCAGTGATCTCGTGACCTTGTGACACCGCCTGCGAGAGAAGAAGGGGGAGGGGGAGGAAGAGATGCACCCGCTGAGAGACTGAGAACGCCCGCCTCGCGGTCGCACGCCGATCTCGCCACCCGTGTGTCGCGCGGCGCACGTCGGCTCCTCCCAGATCGCGAGAGGGTTGACGAGAGGGATCGAGGCGGAAAGTAAGTCGCGCGGAGTTTGGCGAACCGTCGTGCGAGAGGAGCGCCCCTGGTTGCGCTTCATGAGTTTCCGCGTTTTCTTCATTCGAAAGTGTTCCCGCGGGGATTTCGGAAACCGAGATCAATATTGAGATCGCTGCCGGTCTATCCGCGATCCGAGATTTCCATGTCGGATCGCTACTGTTGGAACAACTACAATAATTAATAAAATCTGTACAATTGCGAAATACTCGAAAATATAGACCCCAAATCTAGATCCCTCGCCACGATCACCCACTGATGATCTTGCGATTCTACAATTCGAATAAATCATTCGTGGTTAAGGAATTAAGAGGATAGATCAACAAATTGTTTCGATCGCTTCTACCCATCAAGAAATTTTAATCTCGCCTACCGGGATTCACAAAGAACGATCATCGATCGAGATTCTGCAGAGATCAACGTCGTAGAATCCGATCTTATAAGTAAATCAAAGTAAAAAAGTGCAGTTTTACCTAAAGTAGCCTGTATCGAGATATAAACAAAAAAAAGTCGACGAGGAAACATCCTGCGAGAAGAGGATCCTGCGACGATCGAGATAAAGATCTCGCGCGGGTATCGGAAAAGCGTGAACGGCACTGAGCTTTGGGTGGCAGTTGGAAGAGGGGGCCTCGTGTTTCCCACCTCCGGTCGGTAGAAAATCGAAGACGTGTCGAAACTACCATGAGCGAGGGCACGCCGAAGTCGCAGATCAAGATCGTCGTGCCCGATGGTTCGCCAGCACGTCCGCAAGCTGGTACGCATCATCGCATACCCCCCTTCTCTTCCGTCACCCCCTTGATTCCGCTTTGATCCGCTCAACTCGTTCGCGCGCAAAATATGTCCGAAATTTCCTATTTTTTATAATCATAAAAATTTGAAGTAGAGTGAAAGTATCTGGAAAAATATCTCGGTGATATGAGTTAGGATGTGTATTGTCTCTGCAAAAAGTGACTGGAGAATTGGGAATTTATACTTTCTATAGAAAAATTGTTATTTTATACATATTTATACATAAAATATCTCAATAATATGAATATTTATATTTAAAGATACAATACAATTTTACAATTTAAATTGTTTCATTTTATCTTTATTTTTTAAAAACGTGCACTTATTAAAATAATTTTTAATCCGGGTTTTAAATCATTGACAAAAACTTTTTCTATTATTTTTAAATACGATATAGAAAAATCTGTAATTTTTTTATGTCGTTAAAAAATACATATAATACATCCTTAAGCAATTACAACATGCTTGGTGAAAATAGAAGTTTACTATATATTTATAGAAGATAGAAATTAAAATATAACAGTAGTAGCAGATAAAAATTTGCGATCTTTGTAATACCATGTATATATATATATATGTATGTATATATATATATATAGTCATAGATTTTTAATTGAAACTGGAGAAAAAATTTAATTTTTTCATCAGAGATAACGGAGTTGGAAACTACATCAATTGACTGTATATTTCTGTTTGAAAAGCAATGTTTGGCGCGCTCAAAGCACCGGCAAGAGTGTAAACTATTTTTTTCTCTCACAAACTTCATCTTTCTGCGAGTGTTTTGCACATTAATGGCTATTACTTAACGTCGGATACGCTCGAGAAATATGGGCGTTGGATGGACCTCAATTATGAAGAATAATCGCGACTTAAAGAGGTACTTTCTCTTTTTGTTGCTCGAGCGAGAAGTAGTGAGAAGCGCCACTCCGTCTTATTCTGTCTAGCTGTTAATTGACTCAAGGTTACCCTTTTTTAGCCCGATACTAATTCAATTAAGCACAAGGCCGCGAGGTGAATCGATAGTGCACACGAGAGACAGAGAGAAGACATGTATATATGTCCACGGAGTATCCCCGTGTGTTTTTAATACCGAAAGCTTCCTATAGATCCGATTGTCTGACGTGTAGTAAAGTGAAGCTTTATACTTTCATTTCCTTTATCTACTACCGCGTGTCAATCCGCGCACGAAACTAATCAGATTTACTATCTTACGTATAACAGAGTTAAACGAGGTACTTTCTGTTTTATAGGTAATCTCTACTCACAATTCACTACTATAATATAAGATAAAAGTGGATAATTATTATGTTAAAGTGCCAAATATATGAAACATGTAATATCATATTTTAGACTGAAAAGTAATATTATATTATAAATAAAATTGGCATTATGAGATTGAATTATACAGATATGCATTTATTTAAAAATCTCTATTTAAATTTATTATCATATAAATTAAAAGTGAAACCAATTATATTAATAATGATTATATTAAAACGCCAAATATATATACCTATATATATAAAATATGCATTAAAGTTGACATCTAAATATTTAAAAACAGAATACTAACTAAAGATGGTAAATTCTAGATCTATCAAATTAATATTTGACACCTTTAATTGTCTGGATATAAATATCCGTGAGTAAGAAAATTTGGGATGAAATATTAACTCATAATCTGCCAGGTAGAGCGGTAGATTTTATCCTAAAGGCTTTCTTTATTCCAGCTCTCTCAGTGGAAATTTTACGTCATTAATAAATTATTTTCCTTGCGAACTGATTCTTTATTACGCTTTGAAATATTAAGATACAATCAAAACTTTACATTCCATTTGAATTCAGCATCTACATTCCATCGCAAACTGCTTTTACGTTTTAATATGGGATGAAAAATATATTATAACTTTAATTGAATGATTAAAATAATGGTCCTAAATTGTAAATTATATTATATTTTATTAATTTTTTAATTGTTTTTTACTCAAACATATTAATTTACTCTCTTTCTCAATTCGCATATTCATTGTGTAAATATATAAATATAATTATAAATATAAAATATATATATAATTTTACAATTTTTTCGTGCAGAATTGGAAATCATTTCTTATATTCTATTGCGAAGTGCTTTCACATTTTGATGTAGGCTGGAAAATACTTCGTGACCTAAGTTGTGCGATTAAAACAAAATCCCAAGCCGTAAATTAATATTAATCTTGATGAATTGGTGAGTCGGCAACTTTAAGCTCTCATAAAGATTTGCAGACGTTGCTTTCCTCCAAACAAGGTTTCGTAAATTTCATAAATTTTGTCACAGGAACCGATCGCTCGTACGCGACTGTTGCAAAAGTCGCAAAGTTAAATAAAGAACGGTTGAATGTTAAATGTAATTGTAAAAAGTTCCCTTATCAGCAGAGAGTCGATTCTCTTTCAGCAAAGCGGAAGCCGCGAAAACGGCGACAGTCAACAAGCAACTTTGCGTCGGGCCGGAGGAACACGCTGCATACACGCGTGACATATGTATGTACGTGTGCATGCAAATGCACTGAGTGAGGCAGCATCCTTTGATCAGTAGAACGTGAAGCAATGCTCCGAATACTCGGCAGTGATCAAAGGTCAGAGTTCGTTTCGCGAACGACACTCGAGCGTCGCGAAACTTTCGACTTAATCCCAATTTTGAAGTTCGTTTTGATCAACGATTTGCCGAAAGAAAGTATACTATAATAATATTAAGATTAAAATAAGACTATAATAAAAAATGTAACAATAAGTTTAATATTAAAATGTTATCGGTGGTTTTCTTCAATATGATTATTAAGTCCAAAACAAAACTCATTCAAGATTCTATTTATAAAAATTGATTCGTTTTTCGTGTCATATAAACCTTGAAAGACGATTTATAAAAATCGCGGAAGATGAAAGCAGCCTTACGTTTCGCGAAGCTGTTTTAAGTCAATATTGATTAGCAGTCTTGCAAGAAAAAGCTTCTAAAATTAAAATGTATTTTATATTTATGACGTTATTATTATATTTTTACCCAAATGTGTACGCGAATCGAGAAAGAGAATGAAATAATATTGAATAAAAAGCGATTAAAATAAATAATTTTAATATTATTTATTCTTTTACATATTTATATATTTAATTTACAATATAATATAATTTAAAGTTATATAATTTAAAGTGATAAAATTAATATCAATTTATGATATAATATAATAATTTTTTTTTAATTTTATTGAATTAGATTAACAGTGAAAAATACACTGAAAAAATGTACTAAATTTTAATAAATCATTTATTTGAATAATACTAATTATGTATTTACTAAATAAACAATATATTTATGCTTATATACATATGTGACACAAGATTAAACATTACTTTGATTTAAGTATCATTTTTTATCGAGTAAATATATTTATTTATTGTAAATAAATGTTTAATTGGCACTATTTAAATAAATATTTATTTTTATTTATTATAGTGCCAATAAAATTTAGTTCATTTCAATTCGATAGAGGCTTTCGTATATCAATTTCATAGTCTACTTCCGTGTCGATTCGTACTTGACCGAGAGTTATGTACGTTTCTGCGGCAAAACAATGAGATTAAATAAAAACGGAAACCGCAAACCGCGCAACGTTGAAATGCACACAATAGAGTACGAGGACATCAAAAACGAATCTGTTTACATCTCGTCATCGAAGACACGAGGAGCGAGGACTTCCAATTTCTATCTTCGATTCTCTGTCCGTCATGTATTTTGCTGTGACGTATTGGGAATCGAATGACATTGGAAACTTTTCTGTCGAGGGGCTACAAATTGTTGCTCCGGATAAAATCGAAATAGTACGGAGATGTTTTAGCGGTACATTTCCGAGAATTTTAGAATTTCATGTTATCTCATGATAAAACAAATAAGAACATTTTGATACACGAGACTTCAATTTACTACAATTGATATTTGCTATAACGGTCGCAAAAATTGAATCGCATAAATGGATTGTTGATTTCAGGAACAATGTTTAAATAAAAACTTTGTCATTTTATAATATATATTTATTTCTATTCTCTTAGTTCTTATATCAAAATTGCATTTTAAAATTAATATCACAAATTTTTTAAATAATTCAATACATCCAAATTTATTTTTCGAAAAGTTTTGCTTTTTGAGAATTGCGCCACATTGTTGTAACAAATGAGTGATATTTACAATTTTATACGCTATAAGAATGTAGTGCAGCACATATTCTAGATGATCGATACCATCGATATGCGATTGATATCCTAAAAAGATGTATTCACTCTATGCACTCTATCCGTTCGCGATTAAGCAAATCAGACACTATCGGGTACGGATTGACGTAAACCATTTTGCGGGGCATCTCCCATGATTTACGTGTTCGTCTAACCATTGACACGCCTATATGTATGTAGCCATGATTGATCTGCCGAGCGATGAAATTTATGCGTCAACCACCTCTACTTACGACTCGTTCTGTAAACACGCATCGGTTTACATACGGATCAGATAATGCGATCATCGGAGCATTTTCAACGTTGCATCGTTGAACGAAAAATGCCTCGCGTTTCACCGTGACCGAGTTAAAAAAGAGAATAATCGCAGTTACGCATCATTGAATTGTACAGTGAACGCTTTATCTTTTTTGCCCGCGGACTACGAAGAGAAATTTTTAGACATTTCTGTAAGTCGTTTATGTAGATCTATTATCTCTCTCTCTCGCTTTTCATTTACATATAAATGCTTTAGAAACGACTAATTGAAGTAATAAAATAATGTAAAATAATTAAATTGAATCTGTTGAGGGACAAGATGATTGAATTAAAATCCCCTCAACCAAAACTGCTGTTTGAAGAGAGAGAAAGAGATAAATTCCATTTCCAAATGAATCCGGAGTCTCTGAAAACGTGATTGATCTAATTGGCTCCATGATCCAA